AGTGAAGTATGCTGCACAAACGCTTCTTCAACCCGCAAATAGTTGAAGAGTAAGAATTTGTGTGTGCTTATGGCACTCCAAGCTGGGCCAATTAAATCGGCATCAAGATCCTCATAAAATTCAGCCAAGTTATGATGCAGACTTCAACAAAACAAATAAATGTGATAATCTTAAATCGTTTGCCCGCAGCTACAGAACATTAAATGAGACATTTTAGTTTCGGCGTTTGTCTTGAGTTTGTTTAACTTTCGTGGTGAAGCGAGTCAAAGCTAAAATTAGAAAATTCGCAGTCAACTCGTGCTTATTTGGCATACAGTTATACTTATATATAGAAATCAGATTGGAAGACAAAATGGTTATTAGTCTCTTCGCGTTGTAAGGAATTGCCCTTCCGGTGCCAGAGGGTGTCATTTGCTTTCCCAGGCTAGTTTCTTACGTACATTRGCTTTTTTCAACACTGTTTTTATTTTGTAATAAACATTTCCTGAAAAGACAAAACTTACATGGGAAATAACCATAGTCAAAACCATAGACGAGTTAAAATTATAGCAATTATTTAGAGGAGTCAAAGAAAGCAGGTCTACATTAGCGCGTCTTATCCGGCCAAGGGCTGTTTTTYTGTGTAAGTTTTAGGTTTCTTATTGAATCTATATTTATGCTATACAGGAATTCATAGCACAACAATGGATCAACTCCACAAAKATCGAGAAGYTCCGATGATATTGATATCATCGGCYTCAACACGCGCGCCATTAGTTCTGCTTTCTCCAGACTGGGCAAGGAAGCAAAGCAAATTGGTCTAGTGGTGAACGAGGGCAAGACGAAATATCTCTTGGCATCAAACAAACAGTCGTCGCAGTCGCGACTTGGTTCCCACGTCACTGTTGACAGTTGTAGATAATTTCGTCTATCTTAGAACCAGTATCAACACCATCAACAATGTCAGCCTGAAAATCCATCGCAGAATAACTCTTGCGAACAGCTGCTAYTTTAGATTGAGTAGGCAATTGAGAAGTAAAGTCMACTCTCGACGAACGAAAACCAAACTCACTCTTATTCTCGTCCTGTTATATGGTGCAGAGGCATGGACGATGACAACATCAGATGAGTCGACGTTACGAGTTTTCTAGAGAAAGGTTCTGCGAATTTATG